TGCCATATGGGCAAAATGTTTGCTTTATTGGCAGCAAACTAAGAAAAATTTAAAGTGGAGACTAATGTGACATTCCTGTTAGAATAAAAACTGTTTGTTTCTCTCTGGAGGATGGATTTTCAGACTATTTTTATGGTTTTGAAGAGTAAAAAAATAACCACATTAGAAATGAAAATACAACCAGAACAAAGATATATGTACATGGACTTTCAAAATACTGGACCACCCCCACTTTTTCCCTCAAATGGTTTTGCCCAGTCCAATCTCCTCTCTTCTCCTCTAACAGGGCAGCTACAACTAACTCACACTTCCAGGGTTTACGCTTTTGCCCTTTTTTTGTGGACATCTCTGGCCCTAAAGGGCTGCCGTCCTGCAGCTTTTACATGCTTCCCTGCTTCAGCACACCTGATTCTAAGCGAATCTAAAGATCTTCTAAAGATTCTGCACCAGTCTGCCAACCGTGCATCGATTTGCATCAGGTGTGTTGCAGCATCTGGACCCTGCAGGACAGCAGCCTTCAAGAAATGGAACTGCCCTCCCCTGTCCGAATGGACAATGTTCAGCTGTTAGTAACTTCTATGGAAGGCTAAAAGTAACAAAGAGGTCAACAAAGAACCCCTAAAACATAATTCATGTCATTTCACAAATTAAAACTAATCTGTTTTGGTTAAAGACAGTATTTTTAAGTTCAGTACACTTAATACATTCAAACCAAGTATATTTTTGGATGTATTTAGTTAGAAAAGTGAGATTTTGTATGCAATATAGCAAGTTTTGTTGGATTAAATCTGTATTTTTTTTCTCCTACCCACAGATGGCATTGGTCTTATTTGGGCAATGGAGATAGTTTTATTGATTTGATAAGCCAAAAACAGATAAGTTTTGAAATGAGATAAAGGACAATGGTTTTTATGGAGGGTGAAAACTTTACTGGCTACGAAAAACCAAACTAAAATATCTTACTGGCCTCATCAGCTTAACCTCCCGGATGGAAATCCACTATCGAAGTACCAACGTGAATAAAACAGCACTGAGTGGTCATCAGGTCCAAACTGGAGACGCCCGCCCCGCTACATCCAACTCAGGTCCAGCACGTGTGACCGTAAAGGTCAGTGACCCCCACAGGACCGTAGCTAAGCGTTTCTACACCAACTTTTGCAGACATCTGCCACTGTCACTGTCTCAGAGGCCTTCTTTGACATTTTAAAAGGGGTGTGCTAGAACCCAGCCCTTATTGCCCTTGTGTCCAGGGCCTGTCCTTTTGCTGGGTCACTCCACTGTTACCAACACTACAGCTTGAAGTCGTCCAGAATTAATTGAATCCTCAAGTGATATCTGCTTGATGACTCAAAACCAGAGACCACCATGAATGTCAGGAAATCTGAGCTGTTATTTGACGCGTATATGCAAAAGATAAATATCATACACATGAAAACAGACCAGTGACCCTCATCAAAACCAAACTCTACCCTCGCCGGAGTGAGACTGGGCTGTAACTGACCAGACTGATGCTTCGGAAAGCTGGACCAGCTAAGGTTTAGCTGCAAACCAGATTTAACTCTGATTTCAGAATAAAACAGGAAATGGAGATGGTGACTGAGACAGAACTCAGATTTAATTTCCTAATCGGAGTTTACACCAATAAACAGTTTGGACTTTGTACATGTTTTTTAAACTGGTCAATCCTCTCTGCAGAAAGACATTAAAGTTAGCTTATTTATTCAGCTGAATTAATAGAAACCACCATGAATATGAAACCACTTTAAGGAACTACAGTTGAGCAATTCATCCGGTTATACTCAGAATTGAAAATAGAAATGTCTTTAGTCTTATGCATTTGATTCTGGTTGCAAATAATTATCAGAATATTCACCCGTAAATCCAATTAATGATGAAACCATTATAATAATGCTAGTCTTAACCTATTGGTAACAACAAAAAGAGAGAAACCTTGTAAGTTTTGGAGAACCCCTAAAATTTAAACCGTAACAGTTTATGTTTGCACAATGATATAATCCGAAACAGTTTTTAAGACTAGATCAACCATAAGGTTACACATTAATCTCAGTTATAGTTTCTTTAGCCTTGCACAGTCAGCAGGAAATATATTGAAAACACAAATGTCCCTCAAAATGTGGTTGTCATAACAGTGCGATCACAAAATAACTAACGTTCTGCTTTTTATATTTGGATGAAAACGTGTTTTTTAGCATGTAGAGCAAAGAACAGCACAGATTCAGGCCAGACTATACAGCACAAAGGTTGTGTTGTTGCAGGGTGGCAGGCAGATGGCGCTGCCGGCCATTCAATGGACAGTGGATCAAGGTCTGTTAATCCTTCCAGTGTGTGTAAGCAAGTGCGTGTTTGCTTGTAAGCCAAAGAAACGTAGCAGTGTGTGTTCACCTCTGAGGTTTATGTGGAATAATCAAACTAACGCATTTCCCTGTGCAGGTGAATATTGATGTAACACAACCCGGAGGTCAAAGTTCAGCGTTAAAAAAAACATTACTAATAAATCTGTTTCACGTTCAGTTATTTTTCATGTTCTCTTGGTGTATTTGGTTTCTTTCAATGCTTTACCAAAGCAACATTGAGCAACCTCAAGGACCCAGATGAGTTTAGAGTCTAAACTATGAGTTACCTCATTAGAATTACTCACGTTTTATCCATTTTTTTAAAATGTGGACTAAGTGTAGACTCATGCGAACACACAATGAAAACTCGAGGGATATGCACACAGAAGAAGAGAAATGGATAAGAATTTAGGACTGAACTCTCTACAGAAGGGAGTCTCAGGTTAAAAAGGTGGAAATTATGTGCATCATGCTTGAGGAAGTGCTAGGATTTCAGAGCATTGCTTTTTGGTCCAATTTATTTCGATTTTTCAGAAGAACTAAAAGTGTAGACCACGGCATAAAAGCAAACCACAGAAATAAACAAGACTGCGAAGAACAAAATGACAGTGGCGAGTAAACATAAGCCCCTTTTTAAGGCTTTACAATAAGAATCTGACGGGGAATAAAGAAAGCTGAGGACCTGAACTCACCTGTGAGGGGACTGATCCGTGATTGAGTCCAGCCTGGGGTGTCCGACATGGGGGAAGGCAGTGGAGACAATGACCAGGACAGGGGATAACAAAAGGAAACTCAGAATGACCAGGAAATACAGAACTAAGAGAAGGAACCAAAGCAAAAACATGGAACTGAAAGATGGAACCGAAATCTTTGTGGTGTTTTACTATTGGACGTTGACGTAAATAATTATTCGCCATAGATTCTGAAGAAGAGAGTGAAAAAATATTTAAACATTACGTTTTAGGATCCATGAACCTAACATGGTATATATGGTGTATACTGTATATAAGCATTTTCAGAGGTGCAGATCCAGTTGTGTTACTGAAAAATTAACAAAGAACATGAGCATTTGTGAGAGAAGTTCAAACTCATTTATTTTCAAAGTCTGCTCCTCACACAAAGCTCTGAATGAGCATGCGGCACTACATTTAAATTTGTTCATAGTTGGATATTTTCCTAGCAGAAGTAACCGAACAACAGGGAAACTACACTGAACTACACTGGAAGAAGTAAAAAAACCAAAAGCCTACAAACTAAAGTAAATGAGGAGAAGGAAATGGGTGTTAAAAAGCTGGGACTAGGATCTGACCAGGACTTTATAAAGCAGGGAAGCTCTTGTAGATGGGAGAGGGATCGGTGGATGCAGAGCAGGTGAAACGAAGAACAAATGAAGGTAATCGAGTTTTTTAGAACCAGAGTGAACCTGAGGGAAGCGAAGTAACACAAGCAGACACAGGAAACCGACGACAACCAATGAAAGAAAACACAGGAAGTAGGGAACATGAATCAAGAGGAACACTATAAACTAACCAAGGAACAAGGACCAGGAGAGAATATAACTACAAACCAAACAAGTTTAAACCCACAAACAAAACTTAGGGTAACTCATTTTTGAGATAACAGGAAAACAGAATACAGAAATCTAAAACAAGAACATGAAAACAACAAAATCCAGAAACCTCCCAGAGTTCCCATGATCCACCTGTCCTCCCTCTATAGGCCCAGACTGTTGGGGGGGCTCCCATGATGCACCTCTCCCTCCTCTGCTTTTTTCCTCTCCATGTTCATGTGACATTGTTGTTGTATTTTTCTTTCTCAGCAGTTGTCTCCATGCTGGTGGTCTCCTCTTCCTGTTCCCCCAGTCAGACCAGACAGAGCTGGTTCTAGTCCTGATTTAGTTTTTCGCCTGGTTGTGGTTCTCATATTTGTTTAATAGGAATCTACATCTTGCCATAGTGAGAAGATTTGATGCAATCTTTTGGTTTCCTCATACCGGATATCTTTTAGCTTCTTTCGTAATACCTGGACTTGTTTGGGATTTAACTGACTGCTGATGGAACTGTGATTATATCAAAGTGACTTGGATTCTAATTAGACACTATATTTCAAGTTCTTCGTGATATTTGATGTGATCTGTCACATTATAAATAACCCTGGATCCATTATAGTGCCTGTCGCAAGCAAAGAAACATAATAATTCATTATTGTATCATTTCTGATGGCTTGATGAGTTAAAGGCATGGAGGAATGCACTGAAAGGACAATATGTGTCCAAAATGCTCTTCTTTTTTTATTTTACGTTAGGTGATTACTGTTAAAATGTTTTCATCTCTCCACTAGAGCAGCAACACCACATGTTCACAGTGACACACACAAACACACACAGGCCATGCTAGCATTGCTAGCATTGCTAGCAGCAGCACTATCATCACTCAGAGTAAAAATCCCAGGGTGGGAGTGGTATCACTGAGTTTGTGTGTGTGTGTGTGAGAGAG